GAAGTGTCAAGTATCTATGGTCAGAGTGACATAAAAACAAAAAGCAGAATGGTGGTGAGCAGGGCCTGGAGGATGGCGGAAATGGGGAGATGTTGGTTAAAGGGTACGAACTTTCAGTTATAAGATGAATGAGTTCTGGGGACCTAATGTACAACATGGTGACTCTAGTCAATAATACTATACTGAATTCTTGAAATGTTCTCAGAGGGACTTCCCTGGTGGTCCAGTGGTTAGGGCTCCAAGCTCCCAATGCAGGGGGCCCTGGGTTTGATCCCTGGTCAGGGAACTGGATCCCACATGCCGCAGCTAAAGATCCTGCACACCACAACTGACACCCGATGCAGCCAAAGAAAGAAAGAAAGAATTTTTAAAACTTCTCAGAGTAGATCTTAAATGGTCTCACCACACACGCATAAGAAGTAACTGTGTGTGATGGTAAACGTGTTACCTAACCTTGTTGCAGTCATCATTTCACAATGCATACTTATATCAAGTCATTACACCTAAACTTACACAATGCCATTTGTCAATTACATCTCAGTAAAGCTGGAAAGAAAAGAGTAAGAGTCATGTGCTCAACACAGTGCCCGGAACATAAATACTGGTGAAGTCAGGGACATGATGCCTAAAGGGCTTTCAGGAATGGATGTCTCTGCCCCCAAACTCACAGGGAGGGGAGGTGGTCCTGGGCCTTTGTGGGCACTGCAGAGGGGAGGAGGTATCCCAGACAGGCTTCTCTATAAGGACAGGCCTAAGAGAAGCTGCAGATTCTGTCGTGTCCCTGATTCGTGCTGAGGTCACACGTTAGATTAGCAATATATTCCGCTAGTTCCCAAAAGAACCTTCTCCTCAGTCATCCATCTGGTCCCCTCCTCACCCCCTTTTTGTCTCTGTGTAATCACTTATGCTTTCCTTCCCTCCAGAATGCCCTGTCTCCACACCCCACCATTTTTTGCCAGTGAAATATGAGATGTTCTTCCAGGCCCAGGGTTCAAATGGCACTTCCTTCAAGGAGTGTTTAGTCATCAACTCAGTTCCAAGGGGTGACTTTCCCTTCCCTCCATAACACACTGTCCAGACCACTCTCTGGGCCCAGCAGCTGCTGCCTTGCCTCTTGGTGACTTCTGGGCATATCTCAAATCCACTGTCAGAAGCATCCTGGACAAAAGAACCCAATCTTCTTTATATGGGGTTCAGGGAATATTCAATGGGGTAATGAATTTCAAGTTTTCCAGCCCTCAAAACCCATGGAACTTCCTGAAGTCTTGGGCCACTGAGGCATAGGAAAGAAAGCTTTCCTCTCTCTTCTCAGCTATTTTCTGGTTGCTGTCTTTCAAAGAATCATAGACTGGGCCACCTTCACCCATGCATGTCATGGTGAGGAAACCAAGGCCCAGGGAGGGAAAGAATGTCCCCTAAGGTCACACAGCAGGTTTAGTGGACTTCTGTTGGGAAGAGGGAGTAGAGTGTTGATGTTACTGTGATAATCCAGGGCCTTAAAACATGCAGCCCTTAGATCAACCATGCCACAGTGAACACCATGTCAGTGTTATTGCTGGCACTGTTATTACGATTCTTCTGTCCTTTATTGTCAACCCCTGCCTCCTCCCATCAGGTCCTTTCCTTTCATTTCAGGGGAGAGAAATACACGGAAGGTATTAACTATGCCAGAACATCTTTATGAAGCAGTGGGTGAGGAGCTGGGCTGGTAGTTTACAGGACTAACCATCTGGATTACTGACCCCAGTGGCCTAGGGTGATTTTCTGGACCATCATAGACCTCAGGCCCAACAAGTCAGATCTGGACGGATAATTGGGTGTCGTATTTGTCCCTGTGTTGTGCTGAAGAGAAAATGAAAGGAAACCTGCTTCCCTTTTTGCAGGTGCTAGCAGACCGGCTGAGTCTGGCGTATTGCCCTCCAAGGCTCTCAGGCCTGCTCAGTGGTGACCTTGGCTCAGTGCGTGCAGCAGCCTCAGAGGGTCTGCCCAAGCCCTGTCCCTCTGTCTGTCTGTCCATCCATCAGGCAGCCTACAGAAGCTCTCAGGCTAGGTCCTTGGGAGGACAGGGTGTCCAGAATCAGCTTCCATCATCCTTCTCCCATCACGGGGTTGAAAGCAAGATTTCCCATCTGTCCAGGTGTGCGTGTGCATGTTCAGTCACTTCAGTCATGTCTGACTCTTCGGCGACCCCATGGACTGTAGTCTTTGGGGGACAGGCTCCTCTGTCCATGGGATTTTCCCAGCAAGAATATCGGAGTGAGTTGCCATGGCTTCTGTCTAGGGAATCTTCCCAACCCAGGGATCGAACTCACATCTCCTGTGCCTCCTGCACTGCAGGCAGATTCTTTACCACTGAGCCACCGGGTTGGAGGGGCATCAAAGTTATCACTGGGAACCGGTGAGGGACAGCTTCAGCTGACAGCCCCATTGGGACTGGGGAGTTGAGTCCCAGAGTCCACATCCTACTGGGAGGTGAGACAGGACAGGCACACACACCCAGAGACTGCTTTTTCCCAGAGGAGGACTACAATTTGCCTCCCTCGTCTAAAAACAAAATTAAATGCAAATTGGGGGCAGGTCCAGGAGAAAGACTCTGAGAATGGAGACCAAAGTTCCCTTAGTGGGCTGAACCATTTCTCAGCTTCTATCCCATTTCCGTGTTGGTGTCTGATTGGGTGAAAAAGAGTGCAGCATCCAGTTCTGGCTGCTGAGCCAGGGAGCCCTGGGCACTGGGGAGTTTTTAGTTGGGATTTCATGTGAGCAGTTAGAGAATTAACTGAAACAGCAATGCTCCTGCCCCAAATCCTACTCTAGGATCCTGTTGTTTGTCTGAGTCTTTCCGGTGAACATGACCATTCTATTCTCAACATGATGTTCCAAGTGGCCCTAACAGTTCTTTTTCAGTTGGTGGAGCTGGGTTGGCTGAAGCTTCTGTATTCACTCATTTTAGGGTCTTTGTGACCAAGAACGTATTTGGCCATTCATTCATTCATTCATTTACTGATTCATTCATCGAAACCACTATTTCAAGGTGCCAAGTGTACAGTGTGAACAAGAGGGATGAGGTTCCTACTTTGTCAGAGCTCTCAGTCTAACAGAAGAGATAGGTATTAGGTGATTTACAAGAGCACTGAGTAATCAGAAATGCAGGGCTCTCTGGACTGATAGTTAGGGAGAGCTTCCTAGCGAAGAGCCCACACACCACAGTGAGGACTCAGTGCAGCCAAAGCATTTTTAAAAATGTAAAAAGACTAGAGGGAACAGTAGGAGATACCCAGGCAGAGTCGGGTGGAACATTTTGACCAGAGATGCCATCCTGTACAAAAGTTCTGAGAAAGCAAAAGAGCCCAGGAGGAGAGCGTGACAGATGAAGCTGAGAGGAGGTGAGGGGCCAGGCCACAAAACCTTGTGTGCCACTACAGGGCTGTGGCTTTTTCCTTCTGACAGCAATGGGAAGTGTTCTCGAGCTGCTGGGGGATGCTGGAAAACTGTTTCCTCCAACTGATCATTCTAGCTATGATGTCAGCCTCACTAGCCTGCGACTTCTCAGACCAGCAGACCCAGCTCAGATGTGACCACTGTGGGGCTTCTACTCACCACAGCAGACAGCGTTTCATTTCTTTTTTCTACTCTCTTCCTTAGAACTTACGTCATGGGCGTTGGTTTCTCATGTCAGCCGCTGGCATTAGACTGTGAGACTAAGCTGATCGGTCCAGGACAGGCAGCAGTAAACTTGGGGGAAGGAGAAACTAGGACTCACCAGGTTTCATGATCAGCACCTGAAAGTGCCTTGTGTAAAACATGGATGTCATGGGACAGTTTAGAGACAGTGGGCTGGACTAGGTTGCATCACCCATGGGGGAAGGAAGCAGGGTGTTCCCTTGAGGGAAGGAGCGGCTGATCCTCTGTAATCTCTTCTCAGAATCCATCTGCTGGTTCCCAGCGGTCTGAGTCAGGCTGCCAGCCAGTCTGCCTTTCCCATCCAAGGGGCATGATGACCCAACGCACACTTGGGGCAGGTGTGTGCCTGGTTTTGGGGTGGGACAGCCAGGGACTGTGGCATCCCTGGTGAAGGTGGCCTGGGCCAGATCAGTCCCTCTCTCCACCTCTGACATCATAAAGGTAAAGTGTAGGGAGGACACCAAAGGCAGAAAGATGGGGAAAATAACAGGGTGGGTATGAGCTTGCTAAGGAACCTTAGCAAGTTTCCAAAAGCCTCTGTTCCTCCTAACCACATAGTGTCCTTAACACTGTTGCTTTCTGGGGATAGACATTCTTTGGGACGGTTCTGCATATTGCAGGACATCTTAATATCCCTGGCTTTATAATGCTCCTCCACATTTTCAAATACCTCCTGGTGGGGCGTGGCGTGGCGTGTGTGTGCTCAGTTGTGTCCAACCTCTTTGTGACCCCATCGACCGTAGCGCTCTAGGCTCCTCTGTCCATGGGGTTTCCCAGGCAAGAATACTGGAGTGGGTTGTCATCCCTTCTCCAGGGGATCCTCCCAACCCAGGGATCGAACCTGCATCTCTTGCATCTCCTGCATTGGCAGGCAGATTCTTTACCTCTAATTGAGAACTACTAAGTCCAATGTTTATGGGGACAGGATACATACAGCTTTGCCTATGTCCTGCAGATGGCTGACAGAGAGACTGGATAAGTCCCCGCCATGTCCAAATATCTTAATGAAGCTTTTGTCCAGTGGGATGGTTTTTCTTCCCAGGCCACTCATGGGGGCTCCTGCTGTCTCCTGGCCCCAAATGGAGCTCCCCCTGATTTCTATAGCCTCTTTTCTCACAGTGGTAACCTAACAGCCCTGTGAAAAATCCAGTGGATGAAGCTGAGATTTTATTGCAGACATTTCCAGGCCTCTTGGCTGGACGGTGTCCAGGGTGGCAGGACAGTCTGCTGGCTGAGGCGCTGCTCCGTTGGACCACCAGATGGCGCCCAAGAGCCCCCGTTGTCTGCCGCAGGACCACTGGTGGCAGGGGAGACTGCAGAGGGAACTCATCTTAAAGAGGCCTGGCCCTTAAAGAGACAGGGCCACACACCGCGAACTATAACGGTAATCCTGAAACGCACTGGCTAGGCTCTGATGCTCCTTTGTCCTCACTTTCTCGAATGTTGAGCCGCCATCTCTTGGAGCTGGTCTCCTTGACAATCTGCCCTCAGCCCCTGAAGCCCCTCCCTGGACCTCACAGGGACGGGGGCCAGCCTGGCTGGTGGCGTCAGAGCTCCTGGCAGAACAGTGCAGGGCTGAGAGTCATCTGCAGAACTCTGGCCGAGACAGCAAGAAGCACAGCCAGCTTCAGGAGAATAGTGGCCACGAGAGGGCAGAGGGCCAGCCTGTGAGCTCTGGCCCCAGATGGACTTGCCTCTGCTTCACTTGGGGCTGATAAGGTTGGAGCCGTTGAACTTTGTCTCTGGGTTCTGGGGACTTGGAGGATCCTTCTCTTCTCTCTTCTGCCTGCCTATTTCCAAATGCTGATGGGGACGCTGTGGTAAGTCATTTAGGAAGGGGGTGGGCACCAGACCCTACTGTTGATCCCTTGGATCCGCGCTCAGAAACCTCTGTGTTGACCCCTGGGTGACAAGCCGAGACATGTCGGGTGAGGGCCACTTTAGCTAGAACTTGGCCCGAGACCCTCCCGAAATTGCAGCTTTGCCTAGTATGCTGTTCCCACGATGCTGGACTCACTGTGGCCCTAGCCATGGGAGTGGGGCTTCAACTCAGCTCCCAGGAAACGTGGGGGGACGTGGGGGGAGCCTCACCACTGCAGGGACCTGGATGTCACCAGGCTTCTCTGGGCCATGGTACCGAGGGAGGTAACAAGAAGGTGAATGGAATTTTCTAGTTTACATCTTGCCATGACTCTTACATCTTTCCCATGACTCAAGCTGAGATAAACTTTGGAAGAGAAAACGAAGAAGCGGGGAGGGCTTTCAGTAAATCCATGCTCCCTGTAGATCTCACTGCCTGCTGGAAGAGCGAGGAGGCTCAGAAGAGATGGGGAGGAAGAGGGCAGAGGACAGAACTGTTAAGCCAGACCTGCCCACTTAGAGGTGACCCAGGAGAGGCCTGGGGAATTTTCTTCTCTCCAGGCCCAAGGGCTAAGGGTGAATCTTAGAAGAGTAAGCACTGCTTTGCTATGTTGAGCTTAAAGGAAATGGAGCAAAGAACCAGAAACAGGCTATCCCAGGGGCTACTGGGCAGATAGGAAGCCTGAGGGGCATCCCTGTGGGTGCCCACCTAAGGATGGGAAAACTGAGGCTGGTAAGGCTCGAGACTGGCCTGAAGCATAGAAGCAGTGGGGTTTGGCTGGGACTGGAGTTCAGGAAATTGTCACTGGATTGATTGCAGCCAGCTTGTCTCCAAGATCATCTGCCCTGACGGAGGACATGTGGTTTTCTCTGGAAACCAGTTCTCATTTTGCTTCATCACTGGTGGCTGTGGGGGGTTCTGGAGTTACATTCCTCCTGTAGCTCTGATTTCTTCCTCCCTGAGTTTAACTTGCCTCTGTTTATTCATTTTTAGTCACTCATTGCAGCCTAACACAGAGATTACCCATGTGGACTCTAGATTCAGAATCTCAGTTCATTTCCTAGCTGGCCAATAGCACAGCTTCCTGTTTCTACGGGAAGGAATGGAGAGAATGGTAGTGCCGATCTCATTGGCTTATTATGAAGACTGAGGGAGGTAGTCTATGTGGAGCACATGGAGCAGTGCCTGGCACTTTAGAAGCACTCGATCAAAGTTAGCTGTCAGTAGTTTTATTTATGCAGCATGTATTATTGAATGCCAGTCTATTGGGCTTTTGGCAGAAAATGGATCCAGGGGCATGGTGTAGGTACGACTGCCTTGGAGGTCTACCTGAGCCTCATTCATCCCCTGGGCAAGGTGCAGTGAAAAAATATGCAGTCCCAGGTTTTGGCTTTTTTTTTTTTGCTGTGCTGCACAGCCATGGGTGATCCTAGTTCCCCGACCAGGAGTCAAACCCTTGCCCCCTGCATTGGAAGCCCAGAGTCCCAGCCACTGGACCATCAGGGAAGTCCCTCGTCCCAGCTTTTAAAGGGAGGGTACAAATGAGATTTTGTGTATAGGTCATCCTTTTTGTTTTTAATTTGAATGTGGAGACCACCCCCACCCCACTCTGACCACTGCATATCCTACCTGCACACCCTGGTGCTCCCTGCAGACCTCAGAGGGGGGAGAGGTGCAAAGACATCCTCTTCATCACCAGTGACCCCCACAGGGACTCCCAGGCCTTCCTATTGTTCCCAGTGGAGCTGGGTTGCTAACAGTGAGGGGGGAAGAAAAGTGGAAATACCTAGTTTTGGTTCTAAGCATGGTGCCCTTTTTCCCACCCAGGCCAAGTGGGTGGTAGAGGCAAGAGCTGGATAATGGAGAGGTGGGGAGTAGCACACCCCTGGGGGTTATGTAATGGCAAGACTGCTGACCTCAGATGGGATACGTTTTCTTCCCTTTTGGCCCACATCATCAGCCCGGCGCTCCTGGCAACCAACCCTTCAAAGTGAAAGTGTTAGTCGCTCCAGTCATATCTGATTCTTTGAGACCTCATGGACTGTAGCCCACCAGGCTCCTCTGTCCATGGGATTCACCAGGCAAGAATATTGGAGTGGGTAGCCATTCACGTCTCCAGAGGATCTTCCCGACCTAGGGATTGAACCCAGGTCTCCTGCATTGCAGGCCGATTCTTTATCCTCTGAGCCACCAAGGAAGCCCAACCAACCCTTAAATCCCCCTTAAATCTGCTGATGAGGCAGGCGCAGCCACTTGCTGTGCGGGATGAGGAGCCAAGGACAGGCTGAGTACACAGGCCAGAGGGAGGGCTGGGAAGGTGGAGTGTGCTCACCCAAAGGACGAGGCAGCACATGGTTAGTGCAGGCTTGGAGGACGAGGTGTGATGGGTGCTGACTCAGTGCCTTGGGGTGCAGGGGCAGGTCCACACTTAGCTGAATCAGGGTGGCCTGTCCCCAGGAACGTCCCCCAGCTACTCTGACAGAAGGGGGTTGCTGGCAGAGCACCTCATGTGGGTGAGAATGGCTTTAACTCCTTCCTTCCTAGGATGTGGTATTGGGTCTCCCCCACCTCCTTTCCACTCAGTGCCAGGAATCTGGAGGTTTCTGTTCTGGTCTCGTGTCACCCTGGTGCTTCTGCACACTTGTCCTATAGCCAAGGTTAGAGTCAAGCCCTGTGGTGGTAATGTCCATTGGAAGCCATCCTATGTAACCAGCAAGGGATCTTGACCTAACTGCCCTTTGCTGGGACACATATGTTTGAGACAGTTGTGCAGAGATGGAATAGGACTGGAAGAGTTTTCTAGAAGATAGTCTTTAACCCATGGTCCAGCAGAGATTTCCGGAGACCTCTGCCACCCTGCTTTCAACCCTGACAGTGGAGGTAGCGTGCGTGGCCCTCCATTTACTGTCTGGATGGGTTACTTAGCTGCTCAGGGCCTCGATTTGCTCATCTGATAAATGGAGGGAACTGAGATAATAGTGAGGTTGTTGTGTAAGCAAAGCACTAAGATCCAAGCCAGGTCCGCTGCAGGCACTCTCTGTTAATTATTAGAAGCGTTCCTTCTTATTGGTCTCCAAGACCCCACTCCCCTCTCCCCTATATTGTCTTCTGGACTGGAAGATTTAGAACAGGATTGGACAGAATGGAGGGGGGAAAAGCAGAGCTAAGGAGAGCAACTAACATTTTCGCTTGAAAAAAATGCTGAAAATAGCTTGTTTAAGCCTTTGTAGATAAAAATGTAAAATGTATGCAAATGTATGTGACTCACGCAGAAACATACATCCATGGCCTCCCCACAGTCAGTGCCCAGATGTCGCCATCAGGCAGTGTTCGGAGAAGGCCCATGCTGCCTTGGGGAGGGGCGGAGGGTGCAGGGGGGTGGGGAGTGGTGGAGATGTTGGGGAGGGGGGCAGTATTGCTGCTTACCTGGGCTGGTATCCTGCTTGCACCTTTCTTCTGGGTTCTGTGCCTTCCATGTGGGAAGAAGAGAGGCCCTGGGCCCCTCTCTGCTCCTCTGTCTCACCGTCCTCCCTCTGGTTCCTCCAGGAGCCCGTTTGCTTCCTCTCCCATCCCAGCTCTATTTCTGGAGCATCTCATTGGAGATGCACGCCCCCCTCTCTGCCAAGCTCCAGGTGCCTGCTTGCTTGGTCCTTCCAGTCTTGTGTGCAAGTCAGAGACGGTGGGAGGGTGACAGCTGAGCAGGGAGACCCACAAGAGCTAAAGTCAGAGCCCGAGCCAGGAGGCCTGGGGTGGGGGAGAGTCCAGTGGATGCAGGGAGGGGCCAGTGTCACCTCCAGGTTGAAAAACACCCACTGTAGCCACCTGTGGATGCTTTGCACCCCCAAAGCATCTTCCCTTGCATCTTCCCGGGGGGCTCACCCCACCTCTGTGAGCCCAATGGCCCCCACCTCCCCTGGGGCAGCTCTGGAGGTGCTACCTATGCTGCTGCAGGGGCTGGATTCAGGCTTCCTTTCAGCATCATGCAAAAGGGTCTGCTTCTTCTTTTAAGAACAAGATCTGAAACTAATACCGTATTGCACGTCAATGATACTGCTTTTCATTTTTTTAAAAGAAGAGTTAGATCTCTGGTTGTTTGGAATGATGAGAACTGCACCCCACTGCCCCCCCCCCCCCGGCCCCATCCAATCTCCCCCTCCCACCCCCCCACAAATGCTTTGGGATGCTGACAACACTCCCCCATGTAGAGGCCAGGTGAGTTTCATCTTGTAGGCCAGTCCATTGAACTGGGTCCCCTAAAGTCACTGCTGTTAAAGCAGCTTGGGGATGAGGGGTGGAAGGGTTTGCTGCATCAGCAGAAACCTCACTCTCTACAACGAAAGCAGGGTAAGTGGCCCAGCATGGGGTTTCCTTGTGGGCCCACTGCCTCCCTTCCCTGGGGTTCAGGAAACAAGGTTCGGGCCCCCTGCCCTGGACCACTCTAGCTTGACCCTCCAGCCCCTCCAGTCCCTTCTTCAGAGTCCTTTGGTCCAAGGAGGCCTGCAGCTGCGTTGCCTTGGGTCTTTTAGAACTAGCACCCAGTGGAAGGCACACAACTCCCCCACTCCAGCTTCTTCATTGCCTGTTTTTTTTTGGAGCGGGGGGCGATGGTCTTAGAAGGAATTTTGTTTCTAAAGGTCTCTTCTCAGAGGCATCTTGAACCCAGACTTCCCTCAACTTGTGATTATGCAGCCATGGTGCCCCTCCTTAGATGCGCTGCGGTTGGAATCCCCAGAGAAGGTTCCTGCGGGGACCCAGCAGAGACCCTGGGGTCTCTCCTCTAACCCCGTTTGTCCTCCACGGCCCCTCGACGACCCCCTCGGCCTCCTGCCTTCCTCTGCCCGCCGCCTCCCTGGTGTGAAGGGCAGGGAGCGCCTGGCTTTTAGGTCAAGGGTGTCTAAATAGACGAGGCAGTGTTAGGGTTTGGAAGGAAGGAGTCCTTGGGCCGGCAGCGCTTCCCGC